CTACCTGCGAACAGGCATACTCTGGCGCCCGCAATTCTGGGTTTTCTGATTATGCGTGTCTCAGAATGCTGCAAATGCCATTTCCGGGATTCAAATTAAAAAATTGTCCGTGCCTTTGGCACGAGCACCCCCCCCCCTAATATTTTATAAAGTGTCCGCCACTTGCTTAAAAGGTCTTAAAACTGTTTATTCTACCAATAAATAAAAAGTTTTTTATTGCCTGGGATTTCAATAACTGGGACTGGGATTTCTAATAAAAATCCAACTGGGACTGGGATTTTGCCAAAATTTCAGGTGGGAAATGGGATTGGGACCCCTCCTTCAGGACCCTCTTAATATAAAGGTCAAACGCACGTACAAATTCCATTATCGATTTCTTCGAATTTCGTTTTCTTTTATGATTTATGGCAGAAAATAAATTAAACAAACAGTATTTTGAAAGGGCTTTATCAAAATCTTGGACGAATTTTGGACACATGACGCCGAAAGAACAGCCAAACTAAGTCATGTATTCGAAAGCTTGTTGTTGACAGCCAAGATGTTCTGCCAACTGGCTTCGCCGGCAAAAGTCTTATTTTTAATATCAGGTCCTAGCTTTAATCAAATAATGTCAAGTCTGAGCTACATCGCCTTCTTCGTGGTACGATTGAGAATTTCATTGTTGCTGTTGTTAGCCCGTTTTAATAAAGTATATCCCTAATATCCGCGTCCAGCAAGTTGAGACCTTGAGAAAGCTTGCCAGTCAAGCCATGCACAGAACTGACTAATTAAATCTTTGTATGAATCTTTAATTATATAAAAGTACCTTGAATTTTTAAGTTTAATTATAAAGCAAAATGCACACTCTGCGGACATGTTCATGAGAATATAATTTTTTTGTGTGACGAAATCTACAACACTTGTCAATCATATTGCATGTTGTGTCTAAAAATAACATGTGGGCGTCCCACGGTCTAAACAGGTTTTGCGTCAGGCCCTATTTCAAATTAGGGCCTGAACTTCAGGTTAACCATGACAACTACTTTAAATACTTCATGTTCGCAAAATATAATGGCTTTGTCAGTAAGGCGAGGGTTTCTGCATGCCAACCTCGTTCCCAGGCTCTTTGCTCTTGGGAAGCAAAGAGCCTGGGAACGAGGTTGTCTGCATGCATGTATTTCTAGTATATAGCTATTATTCTCTGCACAGACGCACTGGGTGCAATTTTAATTTGGCAAACTGCTTCGATACATATACGTCTGTTAAGTTGTGCTCGTGTGTATGACGTAATTATAAATCTATGTCATTAAAATAGAAACAATTTTTAGTTGTAATGTTAGTGATAAGAGCAGAGACTCATCACCATATTTGGTGATATAATATATTGTTTGCGTGATATATTGAATAGCTAAGTCGATTTAACACTCTGATTTAACTCAATTTAATTTAATTTGATTTGTCACAATTCATTTACATACAAACAAGATTGGTTACTGACACTAGTACATGCAGAACATGCAAAAATACAACATTGGTGTGACTGGAAAGAGGAACAGGACTTGCGTCCCATATTTCGTCACTTCCGTCGCTTGGGAATCAGGCGAAATACCTTTTCTCTCACGAGGCATTATTTTATTAGATCGAATTTATAATGCATTTACTTGCGAGACGAAGAATATTCTTGCCTTCCAGCCTTCGACGCACTAAGTTCTATTTTAATTTAACCAACTAACTAACTAACTAACTAACTAACTAACTAACTAACTAACTAACTAACTAACTAACTAACTAACTAACTAACTAACTAACTAACTAACTAACTAACTAACTAACTAACTAACTAACTAACTAACTAGCTGGCTAAGTTCGGTTTTAACTTGACCAATGCCAGGCAATGGTCAGTTGGTAACATGACACCAACCGATCTATGTATAAATGACAACAGGATAAACGCTTTATATTTTAACACATACTATATACTGTACTGTATATACCGCATATTTTATAAACAAGCTTCCGCTGGTACTGGTAGGGATGGAACTACCTGAAAAACATCTCAAATATAAGTAGAATTTCGACGTTTCGAGCAAAGGCCCTTCGTCTGGAGTTACTAGTGACTCCAGAGTCCAGACAAAGGGCCTTCGCTCGAAACGTCAAAATTCTCCTTATATTTTTCATGTAGTTGCACCCCTACCAACGAAAGCTTGTTTATAATTTATATTAATATTATTGGCACTAGCCGCACTACCTACACTGGCACGGACAGTTCAAGATTGTATACCGTATGACTATATAATAATGTGACTATGTATAAATAACAACGTTGCTACACATGGTTGTACAGACTTGAGACTTGTACTTGTTTTAACTATTAGCGCTAAGCCTAACTGCCAGGCAAACTGCAAACTTTAAGAATCAACATTTTTGAAAAGACCAACGCGCTCTTCTTTAGTGGTATAATTGTACTTCAAGGTCTTAACGCTCCGTGGAGCGACTTGTTCAGATAATCATTGCTACTTTTTATTAGGTTAGATACTTAGATTCACACGGAAGTGACCGCATGCATATAAACAACAGAAAACGTACCTTGGAGTAACAGGAAAATCACAGTCAGTATTACAAAATGAAAACGCTTTGAAAACATCTTCTTCAATTGAGGAAGCACTTCAATTCAATTCAAGAACGTGTTATGAAAGCGGAAGAAATGAGCCAACGATATGGGCGTCCAAAAAGGACGGAATGATGAACACACACAAACACACAATTATTGACAGTTAAATCCAACGCTTGAGCGCATACATGTAATACGAAACGCTCACAAAAGACATTCGAACCACGCCGAAAATAAGCCGAAAGCAAGCCGAATAAGCCGACTCACACACAAGCTTAAATTAAGTCTTTTAAGTCTGAATGTCACGCGCACAATAGTCCATGTCTTGCACATTTAAAAGTCGAAGTGACACACAAAAAATAGTCTAACTTTCTTCGTGGGAGGGCGATAAATTTGCATACATTTCCGCACTTTGTTTATGGGGGGGAGAACTGAAAATGGAATATTACACAATCACGATCCCAGAATCATGATATTTGCTGTGTTGGTGTAATGTACTCAGGTGAATAAGATGCTTGTGTGATGTTACTCTGAGTGTATATCCACACCGGGCAGGCTTGAAAAATATGCCTGGCCACGGTGGGAATCGAACCTACGACCTTTGAAATACTAGCCCAATGCTCTGCCAACTGAGCTACGCGGTTAGGACGGTTTGAGTATGCGATATTTCGGAACTGAATTCCAAAGGTCGTAGGTTCGATTCCCACCGTGGCCAGGCATATTTTTCAAGCCTACCCGGTGTGGATATACACTCAGAGTAACATCACACAAGCATCTTATTCACCTGAGTACATTACACCAACACAGCAAATATCATGATTATTAGATTACACTGATATCGAAGGAACTAGCTAGACTCAGTTCCGAAATATCGCATACTCGAACCGTCCTGACCGCGTAGCTCAGTTGGCAGAGCATTGAGCTAGTATTCCAAAGGTCGTAGGTTCCATTCCCACCGTGGCCAGGCATATTTTCAAGCCTGCCCGGTGTGGATATACACTCAGAGTACCATCACACAAGCATCTTATTCACCTGAGTACATTACACCAACACAGCAAATATCATGATTATTAGATTACACTGATATCGAAGGAACTAACTAGACTCAGTTCCGAAATATCGCATACTCGAACCGTCCTGACGCGTATAAGTTGGGGGAGCATTGGGCTAGTATTCCAAAGGTCGTACAGTAGGTTCGATTCCCACCGTGGCCAGGCATATTTTTCAAACCTGCCCGGTGTGGATATACACTCAGAGTAACATCACACAAGCATCTTATACACCTGAGTACATTACACCAACACAGCAAATATCATGATTATAGACTCAGTTCCGAAATATCGCATACTCGAACCGTCCTGACCGCGTAGCTCAGTTGGCAGAGCATTGGGCTAGTATTCCAAAGGTCGTAGGTTCGATTCCCACCGTTGGCAGGCATATTTTTCAAACCTGCCGGGTGTGGATACACACTCAGAGTAACATCACACAAGCATCTTATTCACTTGAGTACATTACACCAACACAGCAAATATCATGATTATTAGATTACTCTGATATCGAAGGAACTAGACTCAGTTCCGAAATATCGCATACTCGAACCGTCCTGACCGCGTAGCTCAGTTGGCAGAGCATTGGGCTAGTATTCCAAAGGTCGTAGGTTCCATTCCCACCGTGGCCAGACATATTTTTCAAGCCTGCCCGGTGTGGATATATACTCAGAGTAACATCACACAAGCATCTTATTCACCTGAGTACATTACACCAACACAGCAAATATCATGATTATTAGATTACACTGATATCGAAGGAACTAGCTAGACTCAGTTCCGAAATATCGCATACTCGAACCGTCCTGACCGCGTAGCTCAGTTGGCAGAGCATTGAGCTAGTATTCCAAAGGTCGTAGGTTCCATTCCCACCGTGGCCAGGCATATTTTCAAGCCTGCCCGGTGTGGATATACACTCAGAGTACCATCACACAAGCATCTTATTCACCTGAGTACATTACACCAACACAGCAAATATCATGATTATTAGATTACACTGATATCGAAGGAACTAACTAGACTCAGTTCCGAAATATCGCATACTCGAACCGTCCTGACGCGTATAAGTTGGGGGAGCATTGGGCTAGTATTCCAAAGGTCGTACAGTAGGTTCGATTCCCACCGTGGCCAGGCATATTTTTCAAACCTGCCCGGTGTGGATATACACTCAGAGTAACATCACACAAGCATCTTATACACCTGAGTACATTACACCAACACAGCAAATATCATGATTATAGACTCAGTTCCGAAATATCGCATACTCGAACCGTCCTGACCGCGTAGCTCAGTTGGCAGAGCATTGGGCTAGTATTCCAAAGGTCGTAGGTTCGATTCCCACCGTTGGCAGGCATATTTTTCAAACCTGCCGGGTGTGGATACACACTCAGAGTAACATCACACAAGCATCTTATTCACTTG